AGTTGAAGTCCTCCAGGCTTAAAGTTGCCAAGGTTGGAGACCCCTGCATTAAAGGCATTCGTACTGCGGCTCTGTTGATACGCTAAACCCAATGGGGTTCGTGTATGCTAATAGTTTGAAACCGCCCAAACAATTGATTTCCATTATGAAGCGTACCGCCTAAGAGGCACTGCGCGCGTTCAACCACCCCGCCGCTCTTTACTATCTCTCCAGTCCCAATCAAACTCAGCTTCTCTAGCCCCGCCCATCCGCCTTGTCTCTGAAAAGCTGCCTATCGGAGAGCGTCTTTGCTTCTCGCCTTCTCCTGGATCATAGAGATAGGAAAATGTGTAAGTCTATCAACAGGACGGGGGAGTATTATTCCGTTCAGGTGAAAGGTCAACAGGAAAGCTTTGCTCGAGGAAAGAGACTGCGTGTGACGTCACTTCCGGGCCTTTTCTTTTGCAAGTTTGGCGGGCGCACGTGTTGCCCCCCGAATAATTTTTGCAGTCTCAGCCGCCCTTCGCCTGGCCGGGTTGCTATGGTGAGTAAGGGAGGGGAGACAGCGCGATAGGAAGGTCCCGGGTTCCAGGTGATGCATCTGGGAGCGCGGTTTCGAAAGAGACTCTTGGCTGCAGCATTGGCAGGGTGCTGCGGTTAATGTCCCCCCCCCCCCCGATTTCTCAGGTTAATAGGCGTTTATCCCAACAGATGCGTTGGGGTAGAGTTCTTATCACTCCCAGCTGAATAGACCCATCAGGCTGGGAAAGCCTATTGTTTATTTTATTATTTTATTTTATTTGGTGTGCCAATTGCTTACAAGATAATAGGTATAAGTAAAAACATAGTTATGAATACATGGATACATATAAGAAAAATAAAAGAAACAATAGGAAAAGGGACGGTAGGCACGTTGGTGCGCTTATGCACGCCCCCTACAGACCTCTTAGGAAAGGGGTGAGGTCAATAGTAGACAGTCTAAGGTTAAAGTTTTTGGGGTTTGGGGAAGAAATCACAGAGTCAGGTAGAGTATTCCAGACATTGACCACTCTGTTGCTGAAGTCGTATTTCCTGCAATCAAGTTTGGTGCGATTAATCATGAGTTTGTATCTATTGTGTGCTCTTGTGTTGTTATGGTTGAAACTGAAGTATTCATTGACAGGTAGGACATTGCAATGTATGATTTTATATACTATGTATAGATAGGACCGAAGGCGGCGTAGTTCTAGGTTTTCTAGGTCTAGAATTTCAAGTCTGGTGGCATAAGGTATTCTGCAATGAGTAGAGGAGTGGAGAACTCTTCTTGTGACGCCAATGGACTATATTCTCTTCACAGATTCCTAGTTTTCTGTATGTGGGGTGTGTGAGTGTCTGCGCATCTAGTGGGGGGAAGAATGGGATCTATCCATGGACATTGCTTGCAACTTTTATTTACACTATGCGGGAACATGCATACATACATTTTATTTATTTATTTAGCATATTTGTATAGCGACCTGTCTCATGGAAACGTGATTCTGGGCAGTGCACAAACAGTAACAATCTCAAAACAATCGAGCATATAATTAGAATAAAAAAGCAAAACCAAGATTTCAGGAGGACAACGGTCACTGGACTCATACCTTGCATGAAATCCTTGAGGCTGATGAAGAAACTATGCCTGGACTAATGTCATTTGTGTGGAGTGGAGGGTGGGTGGAATTATGTTCCCAAGGCCACAGCAGAAAAGACATGTTGCCTAGGTTCCATCAGATGGAACTCCTTTGAAGATGAGACGCACAACATATCCCTCCTGGGTGGTTAAAAATAACATTCCTAGTGTTAGGATGCCTTCTGACATCTATATGGCTTGAATACTGTGTATGGTTCTTGTCATGGTGTTTGGGGCTTGTTTAGTTATTGTTTAGATAAAGCTTAAAAACCAGTGGACCAGTAGAATAAGGCCAGTTAATGGTGTACCAACTTCGTCATGGTCTGGATGATATATGGTGCTGGAACTGAAGTATGAAGTGAAAGACTTAAGGTAGAGAAAACAACACTTCTTTGTAAAAAAAATTGGCTCTGGGATTCACTAAGATAATGCAACATGTAATTATGCTCATGAGTTTTGTACAACTTTAAATGAGAATTATATATTTTTAAAATGCCCATCACCAATTTGGCTGTTTTCAGAATGATTGCACTGTAATTTCCGCAATCCTTAGCACATCTCTGGAAAATGTCCCAAATAATGAGACCATTATTATTAGGTTATAGTGTCATAAGAATAAAAGCTGACATTTATAGAATTAAAGGTGTATTTTGTAAACAGTTGTTTGAAATGCTATAATCTTTATCTTAAAATTGTAATTTTTAAATCTTAGCAATCAAACTTTAATCAGGATAAGAGTCTAACTGTGTGTGTGTGTGTGTGTGCATTTTTATTTTATTGTCTATGCAGAGTTTGCCTCTCAATCCAAAGCCATTTCTAAATGGGCTAACTGGGAAGCCAGTAATGGTGAAATTGAAGTGGGGAATGGAATACAAGGGCTATCTTGTATCGGTTGATGGCTACATGAATATGCAGGTAAGTCAAGATGGAAGAAAATATCCATATTATCCAATTGGTGAAAATATATGATACTTCTGTGCTGTACCTAAGCACAGTAAGAGATTAGTTTTGAGCAAATAAATTGAGGCATAATCTGTGCAAATATAGCATCAAATTATATGAATGCAGAAAAAAAAACAAAATGTAAAAGCCCAATTTCTAAGTTTAGCAATCAGGTTAATCTTTATATTTTATTGAACATTGTTGAATAAAGGATTCATGCTTTGTTGTCTATAATTTTATAGTGTTCATACTGTACAATGTTATTAAAGTAAATAAAGTATTTTTGATGTAACATCCACAAACATACCCTTATAAACTCATGTCTGTAAGAATTATGAACCAAATCCTGGATTTGGAAGAGGGGAAGTCTCCTTTGTTGATATCATTCAAATATAAATTGGATTCTTAGTTTACCAAAACCCCAGTCAAATAACCCAGTTCCTATTAAGCTGGCTGCTAAAGGAAGTTCCAAGCTCACCAGCTTATTGTGTTTACATGATGGACAAAGAAGAGGGGACTCTTCTTCCATGGCCAGAATGGAAAATAAACAGACTGCTGTGATCATCTTTCTTCCTGGTGCTCACCAGTCTACATAGAATTGCATGTTTACAGATATTTTTAGGTGGTACAGCAAAGTTTTCTTAAATAATAAATCACATTTTCATTATGTGTAACAAAAAAGTTATTACTATATGATAGTAATTCTACTTTGTATCTCTATTGTATATTTATCAGTCATGCTAGCCACATGACCACAGAAGTGTCTTCAGACAATGCTGGCTTCCTTGGCTAAGAATGGAGATGAGCATCACCCGCTAAAGGCAGACATGGTTGGGACAGAGGAAATCTTTACCTTTGTCTATATATTGACTGAAATAGATAAAAATTCAAAAACTGAATTAAATCTGTATATACACATCTGGTCAGAAAAGGTTAAAGAAACTTAAATATAAATTAGAAACATTTTTAATTATCAAACTAATTTATTTTCTTTTTTGGCTGAAGGAGTCTTTTGTGCTGGCTTACAGAAGCCAGTGCTCTCTTCCTGTTCTGCACTGATTCCCCACTTGAGAGTGTATTCAGTGGTGGATACCAAGGAAGAGACCTTTGTGTTTGGAGATGCTATTGGTTGAGTGGGACTGCAAGCATGGACCGGGGCTACTTCACCCCGTTCTATAGTGAACCTCTGCATTATGACCTTTCTAGTGAGAGGGAACAGAAAAAAACCCACAGTCCTCATTATTAAAGCTGGTGGGTGTCAAAATGTATGGGAGAAGGGGAATATAAAAGGGAGTTTGCAGAAGGCAGGATGCACCAGGAGCCTCATCAATTCGCTGAGTAAGTCTGGCACCATCTACACAATAACATTGCTATTTTTATATGAGAGTATGGTAAGCTTACTTGGATCATAGCCAGGTATGATGCCAGGAGTGTGGCGGCAGCAAGAATAGATAACATATATTGTATATAGGGAAGGAGAGAAATGTCAGCACTGATCAGGAGGAGCTTTCTGAAATCGGCTGATGTGTTTCCTTTCACTCCATTGACGAAGCCAACCTATTTTTTTTTCTCTCCTTGCCACCTGATACCACTGAAGTATCTTGATAACCAAAGTGTCAGCTGTGTAATGGTTTCTTTTTTTAAAAAAAAATTACATATGCATATGATAGACTCCTTGTAAGATCTCAGAACTCAGTTCATACTTGGGAACCACCAATTTAGAGTATTAAATATTTGAACTTCTATTAAATTTTAAGTATAGAATGTAGAAAATGTTCTAATTAAAAGGAATACATGTAACTCTCCTATTCAGTAATACTCGTTCCTGTTTGTACAGCTTGCCAATACCGAAGAATATATTGATGGTGCATTGTCGGGACATCTTGGTGAAGTTCTGATAAGGTAACTTCTTCATGTAACTGAGTAGGTTAAAATGAAGTATTGTAAAAGTGATTGAAGTGCTGGATGAAGATAGACAAGTTAAAATTCACAGCAGGAAATTTATTAGAAATTATTGGGCCAATTGATACATTGCCAGATGTACATTTCACCTATCTTGCCAAATCATTGTGAAAAATCAAATGAGAGGAGCCCTACATGTGATATGCCTTAAACTCTTGGAGTTATAAATCTAACAAATAACCTTTATCAACTAAAGGTCAGGTTATGACCACTGATTCAGCAACTGCTTGCAACCTTCCCTGCTGGCTCCCAATGAGCAAAGTCAATGAGAAAGCTGGCAGGAGGTTGCCAGTCACTCCTATTCTTGCTGCTTTTTCATCTATGCTCCATAGCACTTTCCGCACCCACCCTACATACTTGCCCACACCCACCTACCTGCACTCTGTAGCATCTGCCTGCCCAAAGCTTTCACCTGCAACTTTCACCCATTGGCATTTTGCCTGGGACTTACATCTCTTCCCACATTGCAATCAGGTGAGGTCCTCACTTAATCTACACTAGGGCTGTCAAATTCCCAGCCCGCGAGTTGGATGCGTCATGTGCCAGCCATGCCCATGCATGGTTTAATGAAGGGAAAAAATATCCTGATACATCCTGTGACGCCATTGTGACCATGTGAGTTTGACACCCCTGATCTAGACGATCCTGAAATTGACAATGGCAACCAGGAGCGTTGGAAATATTTGTAAGCGATGCGATCATGTGATGGTATGCTTTACAACCACATCACTTAGTGACAGGAATTCCAGTCCCTGTTGCCTCATAACCTGAGGACTACCTGTGTAGTACAAGAAGTCCTTGACTTACAACCATTTATTTAGGGAATATTCAAGGTTACAATGGCACTGAAAAAAGTGACTTAAAACCATTTTCCACACTTGCAACTGTTGAGCATCCCCACTGTCACATACACAAAATTCAGATGATTGCCGTGTCCCAGGGTCATGTGATTCCCTTTTGCAACCTTATTTTGAGCAAAGTCAATGGGGAAACCAGATTCACTTAAGAATTGTGTTATAACTTAACAACTGAAGTTATTCACTTAACTCTGGTAGGAAAGGTTGTAAAATAGGGCAAATCTCAACACATGTCTTGGTTAGCAATGGAAATTTTGGGCTCAATTGTGGTCATCAGTTGACAACTACTTATATTGGAAAAAGTGCATTAATCAAATACCTTAGTGCTTTAATAAAGTTTTGATTTCAAATTGTCTGTTAAGTTGATAAATGCAAGTTAGTTGCATGATTCTCCTTGAACAATCAAAAGAAACTGTCTTCCTCTCCTGAATTTCCTTTGCATCTCCACAACATGCTCCATCCCCCAAGATTTTAATGACAAATAAAAATGGAAAGCATTTTTGGGAAAGCAAAATAGTAGAAAGATCTGTTGCAAAGCCAAAGTTTGCTTGTTTCACAATTTCATTCTTTATAAAGCACTGTTTCTTTAATGTATTTGACAGTTATAGACAAATGCACTTAAATAATGACACAAATTCAATAAAAACAGTTTTAATATTAAACACAACACCAAATACAGAATTAAATTTGTTTTATAGAACACAGTCTTTTTAAAATTCATGTGAATTACAGCAAAAATAACTTATCTCTTTATTGCCAGGTGCAACAATGTCCTATACATAAGGGGTGTAGAAGAAGAAGAAGAAGATGGAGAAATGAGAGAATAATGTTGGAAAATCTTGTGTTTTTTAATGTGTAAAATATATATATTCAGTTGTCGCTTTTGAAGAAAATTCAAGTTTTGTAACTACATTTTGGGGTGCAGAAAAATACATTAAGCTGAAAGAAACAGTCAACATGAAAGATGAACCACAAATTAAAAACTGGGATTATTTAGCCTTAATACAAATATTTTAAAGCAAATGGGATCAGATGTATTCCATCACCATTTACTTTATATGACTAGGTGCAAGATATAAAACTAGTACAAAAATACACTTTACAAAAAAACCTCAAGTAAAGTAGTAGTCATCTTCACTTCTTGTAGTTGCATCTATAGCTTGTTCTGCTTCGTGCTTAGTCATTGGAGGCTGTGAGCGGTACACCAGTTTTCTTCCCATCTAAAACAAAGACGAAAAAATAAAATCCGTATATGCATGGACTTTTAAAATCAGCCTTAGTTTTCCTGTTAAACTTCCCATACATAGCCTTTCACTTATATTTTATACAAATGTGGAAACACTTGAAATGGATGCCTGTAGGTAGATCTATTTAGAACAAAACACACATTTCAAAGTTGCTTAGCTTGGAGTGGGGGTGGAGGGGGAAGTGAAGGCTTTTTTTGTCGGAGAATCCAGTAGTCACATCACTGGACATCTTCCACCACTGTCTTTGAATTTGTCACACCTGACCCTTAATGTACATTTAAATACTTTGCAGGAAAGAGTTTTGGCAATGTTTGTATAAATACTTTCATTTTTGTGACATTACTGAAAACATTAATTGAAGATAGTCATGACTAACGTGGGCCCGTTAATATGGATATATATCTTAAGGCTAGATGTTGTTAAATATCCTACTTTGATCGAAATTATGGCTGGAATTGCTCTAGAAACTAGGTGTCTACACATTTTGTTACAGACTTTATGATGAAGAAACTATTAAAAAGTTTTGTTAGACAGTTGTCTATATTTTTATTTTATAATTCCTAATCCTTCAGAATTGAAATCAGAAAAATAATTTAGCTCTGATTTAAATGTGATTTTAATGGATTTTTAAAAAGTAGACAAAAGTCATTAAATCTGTTGTTGAATTCAAAATGCCACCCAAAAATTAGCAGCTGTGATAATTTCTGTGTGAGCAGAGAAAGATGCATAATCTGCCTAATGACCATGTGTTCAGATGGAAGTTCTGAAATTGAATTGTACTGCTTGAACATGGAATGGCTACAACTGTCAACATGATCCAGGATCTTCCTTAGTCAGGTCTTGGATCACACAGAGACCTGAACTGAAAGTGAGCATATAAGATATAAGACTTAAGGGGGCTGCATACAGTATGTGTAGCCCAATTCTTTGAATCACCTTTCATACAAAAAACTACAAAACCTCTAAAGATTTGTTCTAAAGTCACAGTTGGTTATGGAAGCTGAATTTGAGCAGGATCTGAGAGTTGTGTCTTTTTAAGATGGGGCTCACTGCCCTCTAATGCAGTGATCCCCAACCTTTTTTATGCCGCGGCCCGGTACCGGCATCAGCTGGGCGGCGCGGCCCGGTACCGGCATCAACTGGGCGCCGCCATCTTTTTTTGATGAAAAAGTGCTTCCGGTGAGCTTTCTACCCGGAAAACCTCACCGGAAGCACTTTTTCATCAAAAAAAGATGGCGGCAACCAGCGGCCCGGTAGGAGTTGTTCCGCGGACCGGTACCGGTCCGCGGACCGGTGGTTGGGGACCCCTGCTCTAATGGATATGTTTGCAGTGTGGATTGGTGCTACTTAAGCCATGCAGCATCTAGACAAGGACAGCCTGTATTGACTTCGGCAACGCATAGTGTATCTCTTCTGGGACAGGTACCTCGTGACACGCACAACAGCAACGTCCAAGGCTGTATTTTCTTTCAGGTTGGGCCACTGGCCATGTTGCATGGAGATGAGAGGGTTATAATCCAAAGGTGTGGGTGGAAAAGCTGATCTTTACTGAGAATATTTGCCATGGCTGAATCAAATAGTAATACCCAGATTATTAGGTGCAAAGGGGAGGGGCAAAATAATCTTTCTAAGTGGAAAACTTAAGGCAAATTCCCCCATTGCAGGCCCCATTTGTCCTTTTTGTGTACCATGTTAACTATTGCCTAAGATAATGCTAAAGTTATAGCAAAGTATTAAAGAGGTGCTTCAAAATGCACAATAATATATGCAAATCAGCTGCTTTCAAATTTAAAACTGACATTTTCAGATTTGTGCAGCTACTTCAGAAGTTGCTGTTATCTCCATGTACATCTATAGCTGTTTGGCTAAAGTTACTTGCTTGTGGAGACAGCTGGGAGCAGCTTCTGTAATAGTCAAGCAAGCTTTGCAAATAAATGTCTTTGTGCTTTCTGTGGTCTTGTGCATTACGAAGCATCTCCTTTGAATAATTGTTGTAACTTTATTAGGCATGTTCCAAAAATACTAACATGTGGGTGGACAATATTGCTACATTTGCTAATCCTGTTCTTATAGTGCCGGGGTGTTAAACTGGATTTTTTTGAGGGCTAGATCAGTTGTAGTTCTCTGCGGGCTGGGAAGGGGAAGACGGGGTGGATGCCCCATGCAGCGGGCCAAAACAGGATTGGGGGCGCTGCCCCCGTGTCCCCTTTTTGGCCTGGACAGCCTCCAACATTACTTTGCTGGGTAAAACGGGGGCACGACGTTTTATATTGACTGCCGGGGGCATTGCGGGCTGGTCCTTTGCTATTTCCAGGTTGGCCCCATGGGGCAGATTTAAGCACTTCGCGGGCTGGATCCGGCCCGCAGGCCTTGAATTTGACATCGCTGAAATAGTGCCTCTGTTTAAGCCAATCTTTGTCCAAATATTTATACATCTTATTAAAAAAATGTTTTAATAAAATTTTATTTGAGTTTTCACAAAACAAAAGAACAATAGAACATCTTTTTTTATCATGGTTCCAGGTTTTCACATCTCCATACAAATATCTCAGTTACATATTCATCTTTCATATTCAATTTCATATCTTATCACTACTTTATATATTCTCTTGATTTTTTTCTCAAATACTTCCCTTGGGCTTATTTTATAGCTTTCTCATTCATTTCTAAGTATTTCATTTCCTTTTCAAAATTTTCAATCTTCATAATAATTATACTTGTACTTTTATCTGTCCTGTTTACAATGTCATTGCATATTCTTATTTCATCATTTCCCAAAAAATTTCTCCTCATTTCAAACATTACAAAACAAGGTTTCCCCTATAGTTGCCAATTAGAATGTGTCACCTTCATATCTTATAATTAGTTCCCTTTCAAATCCCATTAAACATTCAACTTTTAGATTGTCCCCTTAAACAGTTATAACATTCAACTCCTAATAACTATATTATAACATATATCCCTTTTCAGTCAGATTCCGCATGGTACTTTCCCCTTAAGTTACCCCCAATACACTTTAAATTTCAAAAAAAGAAAAGACAATAATCTATTTAAATTCATTCTAGAAACTGATATTGATCTCATTACAATCATTCCCATAATTCATTTCAATTATATTTTATAGGTCATTAAATATAATTAATATACATATTTTCATACCTCTCTTTTCACCTTATAATCTTACAATAATCCTCATAATTCATTTCAATTAGATTCCATATATTAACTAATATATTTCTCATATTTTCCCTTCTTTCACCTTTATTCCGTTTATCTCTATATTTTATTTGATTGTTAGCAAACATTCCATTAATTAACAATACCAGTTTCATCTTCCACTTTAATAATGTATATTTTCCTATTTTCTCCATAGTTTATTTCTAATATATTTATACTATCCCTTATCACCTTGTAGAATCCTCTCTCTTAATTTTTGTTTTTAACCATTGTGTCTTTTAAACAATTTTCTTATTCTTGTTCATTCCCCATGTTTCTTTATTTCCTGATTCTTTTTCTTGTAATTTCTTTTCCCCTTTATTTCCACCCTCCTTTTCTCACTCCAGTTTTTGTCCCTCACCCTCTTTAAGGCTTCCTTCTGTAATCCTTCTGCTTATATTTTGTTTATTTTTCGAACTGTTCTCTTTTCTAATTACCTCTAATCTCCAATTTTTAATTCCCTTTTCCCCCCTCTTTTCGCTTCAACCCTGATTGCCCCATTTGTTTGTTAAAGATGGCCTCTTCTTTATTCAGTTCTTCTCCCTCTGGAACTCCTTGTTCTTCATATTCTAAAACTGCCATTTCTAGAAATTGTAGAGCAAAGCCAAACAATTCCCCTTTCTCTTGCAGCTTTTCTTTCATATTTTTAAATTCCATTTTCAGATCCAGAAAAAGTTCTGCCATCTTTAAACACTTCTAACCAATACTTTAAAGCAACCAAAGTCTAAAAATTACTTCCCACAGTTAATTTCAATTAGATCCTCTGCCAATCCAGTGTCCAAAATTTCCAAAATCACCAAATAATCCCAGAACAGTTTCTTCTTACTTCCTTCTTTGTTCCAAAGTTCAATGCTCCACTTTCACTTTCTGGGAGCTATATTGTAACAAGATTTCACACTTTGTATTCTTTAAAAATCCTTTGAAAATTCACAATTAATTCATTTTGCCACCAGGTGGCACTCTATGCTATGTCCAAGTTCCCCCACTTTTTTTCCTCAGCTTTTTTCTCTTTAATGGCTTTTACGTTTCAAAAATTCCTTATTTTCCCTTTGACACTTTCAAGTTCAGCTTTAAGTTTGCCTATTTAGTGTCAAGATTGTTTTACGCAAATATCTTCTTCAAGCTTCTCTTTCAAAATTCAAAGCCGCTGTCAGCTGTCAGATCTTTTTTCCCCTCTTCTCTGCCACCGCTTTAAAAATCTTTCTTTAAAAAGTTCTTAATAATTTTAATTCCAGGGTACCTTTTATTTAGATGTTACTTCTGCTTAGCCCGGTCACTCAAGCTGTCCTCTTCTTCCCTGCTCCTGCACACTCTTGTCCAGTCTGATCTTCCTCTTCAGGGTGGCCATTTTGACCACTGCTACTGCTGTCTTCGGAGATGCCAAGCCAAGTCAAGGAGGGGAGATGCGGCTCCCCTCAACCCAGCTGGCGGTCTCCCCCTTCTTCATCACCTCTATGGGGTGGCTTTAGCTCCAAATCAAATAGATCGGTGCCCTTTGACCGAGAGCATGAACCGAAACCACAGACGATCACAGATTTCAGTCCATCACCAAGGATGTCTAACCAGAAGTATCTTATTAAAAAAAAAATGTGACCACGACTAAACTATATTGTGGGATGACTCTGTATATAGGAACATGTGTCTGGCCTTAAAAGGGTAGAACACATAATTCACAAGCCGTGAATAGGCATAATTAGTTAGATATAGCATAAGATGTTAGTAAAAGTTTTAACTACAAATAGCTAGTTTAGGCTTTGACAAAGTAGCTAGGCAAGCATTTATTTTGCTGTCATCCAGCACAATCCAAAAACACATCTCTAAAGCATGACTACCAACCCTTTTCTTTGGTTCTGCAATTGCTCTCTCAAGAGCAAGCTTCAGCCGTTCTTCCTGAATTCTTCTGAGTTCTTTCAATTTGTCTTCATGTATCCTTCAAGAATGGAAAAAGGGAAGACTTTAAAAATGAAAAGGTTATTGTTGGAAGAAAGCTTCCTTTTTTTTTAAATGTTCCCTGATTTTATTTTATTATGTTTAAATCTGAAGAACTCAGCATTATTTCAGTGAGGAAAAAAAACATGTTAGACCTGAGAATGAGAGAGGGTCATAGTGACTTATTGGAAACCTGCGATTGACGCATCCTATCTGTGTAAGAGATGGCACTTCAACCTCTTCTTTCTTGCTCCAGTCAAAAGGAAATCTCAAAGCCTTTTCTTCATGCCTTCTGGATACAGCTCCCATTGGTACCACAAGGTTTCTTTCTAATGAAAAGTGCTTAGCACCTCCTCTTTATACTGTATAATTAGATCAATTATACA